CCTAGAAGCAGCGCTTGCGTACCTACTCTATCGATAAGAATAGAGCACAAAAGACTACAAAGCACCAGAAGGCCTCACCTGCATGAGCGTCCTGATATGCTCTACATCTCCATCCCACATGGCGAAGTTGCTTGAGCCAATATGATTGAGAACGAGATAGTCCAGGCCGCCTGTCGGATAAAGAGAACACAGCAGAGGTGTTTCCACACTTGACGTAACTCAGCTCTCCGGCTGCCTGATCTTGTGGTTTTGCTTCGATCCTAAGCTCCTCAATGAATCGATCTCACTGCTGGCTCAAGCAGAGGCATTTCATATTTCACCTAGGTCTGACAGCTTGAAAGGCACTTGGGATTTACGTCGGCTCCTGAACTGAAGTGAAATGCTTTAAAGATGAATTAAACAATTAGGCCAAATTAATCAATGAGGCCACAGGGCGTGAATGAACACTAGTGCTCCCTGCGGCCCTCAAGAAACACTTCTATATCCCTGACACACGGCTTCATTACAACAGCACTATTCACTCAACATGGACTGGAAAGCACATTGTATATATCATTGTTTTGTCTACATAAATACATTGGCTATCAAAAGTATTTACCCCTCTTGGACTTCTTACTGTGTTACAATATGGAATCAAGATGCACTGATTTGGGATTGTTTTGCCATTGATCAACATAAAACACTCGACAATGTCAGATTGAAAAGAAAATTCTTCACCTACATTGATTCTAAATATAAAACAGAAAATAAGCGATTGCGTAAGTATTCACCCCCTCTTACTAAGAAACACCTAAATAGGCTCTGATGCAATCAAATGTCTTTAAAGGTCACATCATTTGTCAAATGGAGTCCTTCTGTGTGCAATTAGGGTGTTTCACATGCGTTCAGGATAAATATGGCCTTATCACTTACTGCTGGCAGCCAGTCCACTGAAGCCCAGCAGGTGTGAGCCTGCCAGTACCTGGATGGGAGACCTCCTGGGAAAAACTAAGGCTGCTGTTGGAAGAGGTGTTAGTGTGACCAGTAGGGGGCGCTCACCCTGCAATCTGTGTGGGTCCCAATATAGTGACGGGGACACTGTAGGGGTAGGGGTGTTACCCCGGTGTCCTGACCAAATTTCCCCATGGCCTTTACCAATCACGGCCTCCTAATAATCCCCATCTCTGAGCTGGCTCCATCACTCTGCTCTCCTCCCCACTGAGAGCTGGTGTCCAGGTCCATCATCCAGGTGCACACATCCCAGTTACCTGTACAGCGCTTTGAGTGGAGTGTCCAGAAAAGCGCTCTATGAGTGTAAGGAATTATTAGTATTAGTAATTATTAGTATTAGTATTAGTACTATGATCCCTGTGCCTCCTGGGCCCTGAGAGAGACTGGCACTTGCCTAACTTCTCCACCGCAAAGGCGACCACCCTCTCGGAGTCTGTGGGCACAGACATGTCAGCTGCAACCTGCAGGACCCTCTGCGCGCCCAGCTCCTGGCACCTCTCCGCCACCTGGCAGGGGGAACATGGAAAAGCATCCTACTGTCCCAACGAGCCCTTAGAGAGAAGCCCAGGCTACAGATCGCACACAAAAAAAAGGCCACGATGGCTTTTGCTCTTCAAGGGGAGAGCAAACCCACCTGCAAGTGCTGCACAGCAGCCACAGCTTCTGGATAGAAGCATTTCCGCCATCATGATCTGGCACAGGAGGGAGTCTTTGTGCCCAGTGTCCTTTGTGTGGTAGCTCCTCATGCTGGACATTTAAAGAAGGGAAACTCTGCAATGTTCCCCTACATTCCTGGAACCTGGAGCCTGGAGACTGGAATGGCCCGAAAGCTTAAAGTCTACTCACAATTAATCATTAACAACCACCGGTGTCCGTCTATAACCAGACCCTGGATTCCAGCCACATTCACAGGCCCAGCCTTGAACTGATGAAACAAGAGACACACTTGCACACTGTAAGACCACACCCACTGCGGCATCACTGTACTCTCGGGAGACCTGGGAGTCCTTTCACATTGTGAGACAAGTCAGTGAGGTTAGCACGGCGGCGTCACATTTGTGCAACTGCGCCGCCCTTGATCCTCCACCATTACGAATCCGATGCAAAGCCAGTGCGAGTCCCTTGCCAATTTGTTTCGGATCGTCTGAAATTGATGAGCACAATCTGGAATGTGCATGGTGAGTTACAGAGACATCGTTTTGGGTGGGCCTCACTGCCGTATTTGGAAAACAAGGATAAAGGAAGCACAGGGGGGCGGCAGTTAGCACTGATGTCTCACAGCTTCAGGGTTCTGGGCTCCAGTTAGGCCTGGGGTGCCTGTGTGTATGGAGTTTGCATGTTCTTCTGCAGGAGCTCCCCCCCTCCTGCCAAAGGCACGCAGGCACAGATCTGATGGGCTGATTTAAACTGTCAACCCCAGTGTCCCCATAAGGAAGTGCATAGGTCTGCTTGTCAAGACTGACCCTGGTGGCTGTCTGCCCACCAGTCAGAAGTGAGTACAAGTGGTATAACTAGAAGCAAGGATAGTAGGTAGGTTACATAACTGGAGGATGTGATCATTAAAAAAAAAAACACTGACCTTTAGCAATGCATCCTTACTCCGGGCTGTGATAACAATTTGGGCACCAAATCGGGCATAGTGATAGGCCATCTGTTCGCCAATCCCCTTGCTGCTGCCTGTGACCAATACCCGGGCTCCTCTCAGTGACTCTGATCAAGAAACATCAGATTAAGTCCTGGGCAGCCCATCGAACCTTTGTCATGAAGAGACTGGACATGAACAAATCCACACTTTCTCTTGCACGTGATTGTGGACAAGAAGCCATTTTCCTATCGGTGCATGCCATTGTAAAACCTTGCCGTCTCCTTCTTAATTGCTTAATTAGAGTCAACGTTTGAATAAGAGGTCATAGCTCTGTTCCTATGTAAGCTCGGCAGTGGAGAAGAGTGCTTATCCTCATTAAACCTGTCAATTAAAATCATTCTATAAAGAAACCTGATGAGAGAACTACACAAACACACCAGTTCAAAAATATGAAAAGGATCCTCATGGTGTTAAATGCAAAATAGTGTTAAATGGTGAAATAGTGTTTCCTCATGGTGTTAAATGCAATCCTGGGTAAGAAACATAAGATTGTTATATAAGCTGGGGATCAAAGCTTTGCAGGCTTTTGAATATAAGCCATTGTTGCCCACTGCGTGAGAGTTCACTCACCCCCTTCTCTGTAAGTGGAGCAAATTAATGCCTGACAGGATACAGCTTTTAGAAACAGTCAGTAACGAATCTATAATGTCAAACGTTTCCGTCTGTTACAAAGGAAAATTGACTACTTTGGTTTAATTAACAGTAGCTTTCCGATTCCATGCCTGTGTAGCAGCAAGTAGGCCACCTGACTTTGTCAGAAGGACACAGCCCTGCTCCTGTGGCTGTTGCGTCATCAGAGACATGGGAGGAATGGAAATTACAAGCTCGCATTCTGTACCCCGGTAACAAGCATCATAAATGAAATTATGCACGTTCAATTTAAACACAAGTCTGATCATTCCCGAACTTAAACCACCCCAGAAAGTTTATCACAAACAGCCCTCCCCCCTCCCCGCAGAGTGTAGCACATTAACATGAGGTTTAGAAGCAATTAACTCATCTATGCTGTATACAGGTTTGGGGAGCTGCGTCAGCATGCGCAGTCTGCAAAGGAACAAGTAATAGGTTTATTCCCTGCTGAAGAGAGAAGAGAGAAAACACAACATTTTTGCCTTTTTCAGGTTTGTATGCTGTATACATGCTGTTCTCATGTGTAATCAGCAGATATTAAATAATTAAACGGTAAATACTAGACATGCATATTTTGAGAAAGTTGTTATTAGGCTAAACTAATCCCCCCTTAAGTTCATATTGCCGGAGTGGTGGCTCTGTGCCTGTGACTGGAAGGTTGCCGGTTCAAATCCTGTGGCCGGCAGAGGAATCCTACTCCGTTGGGCCCCTGAGCAAGGCCCTTAACCCCAACTGCTCCAGGGGGTGCCGTAGAATGGCTGACCCTGCACTCTGACCCCAAGCTTCTCTCCCTGTCTGTGTCTCCATGGATAAAAGCTGGGGTATGCAAAAAGACGAATTCCTAATGCAAGAAATTGTATAGGGCTAATAAAGAAACATTACATTACATTGTCAATGAAATCTTTTTGGAGGCTTGTCAAAGGCACTCCATGTTGATAGTGAAGACGCCAGGCTTTCTTCTACTACAGTAAATGAGCTGCAAACCGAACAGCGACAATTGCCCGAGACTGAATTTGACCAAGGCCTAGTTCATGCATCAGCTCTCCCGCACGAAGAGGAAACTCGCAATTCACCATTCAGAAGAGGTGCAACAAACACCGATTCGATGGACCTGTTAGGAGGAGCAGAGCGTGACACAGCATAGGCGCTGCAACTATAAGACTGTTGCATTGGTTTTCTTCCCGATAATTTTATGGTCCTATGCGTATGAAAGTCCATACAGCCTGCAGGTCTTATGATAAGAGCCTTTGCGCCATTCCCCCACACTGACTGATACACAACACGCCACGCACCTAGAGCTGATAATATTTAACAGGAATCTGGAATTTTAAAGCAAGAGAATAGTTCATCCGAGCTGAAGAAATGCATTAATGATCTCGGTTAAAAAATATGACAAAGATAGACTTTGTGTTTGTTTTGCTTTCTTTCCTCTAATGCTACACTAAATTTAGAACTTCCAGTTAAATGGTGTACAATAAAGCCATTAATACCTATTTAAAATGTAGACTTGCTTTCGCTCGTTATTGATAGGCTTCGGGGCTTCTCCGCTTAATTTTATATCCCCCTAATAAATGAATTAAGACAGAGGACATCATAAATAATCATCATCTCGTCCGGCACAAAATGAACTTCGCGCTTGAAACGGTTTGCGGCACCGCGCTTGTTCTGTGCGCGATTTGAAAACGTGTCGACTGGAACACTTGTAGGCGTCTTAGAAACCCGAAGGTGCCGAAATCGAATTCGTGTTGGTCCTCAGACCCTGCAGGGACTCCCCACCTTAATTCGTCCATTCACCCCGGTGGCTTTGAAATTTCCTTTCGTACTGTACGCGTATGCACACTGTGTTGTTTTATTCACTGACAAGGTTTAAAGTATTTTGAGTTTACAGAACATTCTCTGTTTCAGTTTGTAGAAAGGTCTACGTTAAACAACATGGGAACAAGCAATAGGTTTATTCCAGGCTGAAAAGAGAAGAAAGAAAACACAACGTTTCGGAGCCTTGTGCAGGTGTGTTAAATGACATGTCCTTCTTTGCTGATTGATCACGGTGTACAGTGCGACAAGGAAATAGGGAAGAAGTCTTGAAGAGAGAGCTGGAAATGTAACTTTTAAAAAGAGAATATCCGTCTCCATTCGTTTCCATCCTTTCAGTGTCTAACCACACTTTCACGAATCCAGTTAACGATTCCTCTGATGTCGAAAACATCTTGTGAATCTCGCACAGCGTGTGAAAGGACAGTCGCTTTCCCAGCTGCTGCGCACAACCGGGGCTCTCCGGTACGGTAGCAGCAACTTCGAGGCGACGGAAAGAAACGTCTCACCTGCGTCAAACGTGTCTCTCCAGAGGAACGACAGCAGCGCTGCGCACACAGCTGTGGTGACCAGGATAACCTTAACAGGTCGATTCATGGCAAAGCGTTTAGGGGGAAAAAAAAATATGTAACTGCAGTCGCCCTGAGACCAAACCTCTCCGGACCTCTTCTTGCAGATCTTCGCTTGTCCTGCAGCTCGAGCGCTTGTGAGGGTTCCGAGGAGAGAGGGGGAGTTATGACGCCGTCAGGAAGGGGCAATTCTCTATCGCAAACACGAAACCAACTCAGCGCGTCTTTAAAAAAACAATCACGTGCATTCTTACCACCCTGGCTTAGCACAGACATTATTTTGATCAGCACACATACTCTTGCATGAAAACACTCGATTCGATTGTACAAAAAGACAGGAAAAGCCATTAACGTGTGGTTTAAAGTGAATATCCACCGTCCGGTAAACTGATAGAGAGGTTAGCGTTCGTGTGCGCTTTAAAACCTTTCTGTTCGGTTGATGGCAATTACTGTGGTCTAACTCTAAAAACATGTCTTTCTCAAAATGAAAGCAACGGGCATTGATGTGGCACATTGCGAACGCACTTATTTCCACTTCAATCATATATCTTTATATGATTGATTTGGAAAAAAAAAACATTTAGGGTGCACAGTTTTCTCTTTACTTGTTCTTTCGCAGCCGACAAATGCTGACACAGGACCCTACTCGATCCTGGACCGATGATCAAGTTTAGGATGCATCATTCCAGTGGAAATGTGAATATACAGTCATATGGCAGAATAGATACTGGCCACCTAACTGACTTGTTGCTCTTTTGCAAGTACTTGTCAACATGTATCACAAAGCTTTGACCTTGTTAATACAGCCCTGCTTGATATTCATATTCTGAGGCACTGGAACTGACTCAAAGCCATCAAAACTTTCTGCTTCTAGGCAGTAATGTCGGACCTGTGCAATTGTTCCAATAATTCCACACACTCTGTAATGTCTCTAACTTTGAAGCATGTGAGCAATGTCCTCTTCAGTAGTTTGCAATAGTACAGCAAACAGGTAAAGCAGCGAGGAGAATCGTGTAAAAGACTCTATTGGTTTGTGTCTGAGACAGATTTTGTTTTGTCTCAATTGCTTCCAAGTACGTCTCCTGTATCTATAACCAGAGTGGCTTTTGAGCCCCAGATTAAGAGAGTGATCCTGCCTCAGCCTAGCAGGTTCAATGTCTTGCCTTGACAGTGACCATGGAGGGGGGGCGGCACTCAGGCAGTCATCACATTGACACTTGAGCACCATTTTTAAACCCACAGCTATCACTTAAAAGAGGCAATTGACAATACTGCAATAATTAGTAAATGAGATTGATCTGTTTTTCAATCTATACGGTATTTTCAAGACCTGGTCTAGTTCCTGGGGACACAGGTTAGATTTATATTAACATTCAGGCAGTTGAATTGTCTGCGGGAACATTGCATGAACAATACATTGCTTTTATAAATATAATACAGATTCATTCTGTACAGTCATGTCCTCAATTCAACTTATAAATCAAGTATCATCTACTATTACTGTAATTAATCATATGTAGAGGATTTAAAATCCCCTTTGTTATAAGGTTTTGTTGTCCAAATATTTTTATTGTACAAATACAGCAGCTTTAATAAGCAATAGCTAATTTTCCATTCACAGTGAGGGTCAATACTAATCAGAACTACCAATGATTAGCCTCTTCATGATACCAGCACATGCACTGAAATGAGGAAGAATGCAGTGTGTTTCATTTTCTAATTGACAAAGTATTCGCAAGTCTTCCCTCCTTTTTAGGGTTATATGATTAAAAATAAGAGTTCCAGCGTTCCCTTGTGCAAATCTCCAGAGCTCACACACTGTCGATGGCCACAGCTCATCACTGATAACAAGACTGTGCTTAGTGCTGTTATGGTCACATCTAATACATTGTCCCTCCTTATCTATGAACTGCAACCTTGGAGAGGATAATTGAGAGACCCAGCAATGTATTTGAGATTCAAAGTTCTCACTAACATCCCAAATATACCAATACCAGCCTTTCCTGTGTCTGTGGTTATTCCCTCTGCATGATCTACTTAGCAACAGCTGTGGTTTTTGAAGGCAGTGACACAGTAAGAATTAGAATCCAAGAAGCAGCCCTTGTTTTGTAATGGATCATATTTCTAGAACCGTCCGGAACAGTGGGATGACAGTTAACACAACTTCCTCACAGGTCTAGGGTCCTGGGGTCCATTCCGAAGCATCGTCTGTGTGGAGTTTGCATGGTTCCCCTTTGGCGTTTTTATCTGGAGCTCCCCCCCACACACACACACACCTTCCAAAGACACACCAGTTAACATAGCCGGCATCTCTCGGTTGTTGCTTTGTGCAGGTGTGAGCGTGTCGAGCAAAGAGCAGCGTCCCCACAGATCTGCAGTCCCACCTCCAAATGCCTGTTACATTCCCCGAGTGGAACAAAACTCCACACCTTTCACGTACTCAAGCCAAAGCAGTTGTCTCGTTCAAATCGCCCTTAATACGGAATCGGCTAAGAACTGGAAAGAGGAGAAACAAAAAGCTCACGTCTTAAGTATTTACATCATTCTTGCCGCCAGTGAACAGGTGCGTGGAGGAAACTCCCTGCTTGGTATTTTTACTCCCTGAGTGAAGTGACGCGCTCCTGATTCGACTTGCTGCCCTCCTGGTAGTCACACAGTTAAAACTCTTTGTTTTGCTTCACGTCTCCGAATCGTCTGTGTGTCTAACCAGTGACAGGCTGTTGGCAAATCGTGTACCGATAGTAACGTTTTGCACATTATCACGTTGAAACCTACTGGGAGATAAAGGTTAGCTTGAAAAATGAAAACAAGTTAAATGAATCGATCCGCTTTTCTTACCCAACGTGTTAGGCATCCGTAAAATCTAAACATAATTTATTTTACAAATAAAATAGTGACTCAAAGACTCAATAAACCGATTGAATCTGTATTAGAACGGTAAATTAAGGAGTCAGGAATGTTTACCTTGTAAGAATTTGATATCATCACAGTTACAACACGCTGTTGCTTTTTATTTTGTTATATAATTTAAGAGTAATTCCTTATTCATTTTAGTAACCCAGTATGAATTTGGACAGGAACAGTTCATAGACAGGTTTTGAGTATGTAATGGTACGAGTTCAAGAGACTGTAGTTCACTACAGAGTGAGAGTTGCGCACAGCCTCACGGTGAGAGAATCTGTAAAGGACTACATTTCCCAGAACCCACTTGCAAAGATTAGTGCGGTCTTCGATTATGCATGTTTGAAGAAGTCTCTACAAAAATAAATGTTGAGAATGCATATTAATTGAGGGAAAGAATTATGAAAGTCCTAAATTTAAAGAATCTTAATTTGAAAGAATCTGCTTTGTCCGATGTAAAACGGTAACCTCTAAAGGGGAGTCGAAGGTCATCTTGAAAAAACTTTATTGAGATATACGGCAAACACACATTGGTACAGCCTTCTCGATGTCCTTGTAAATGCGAATGCAGACTACGGTTTTTAAAACACCTGGGCTGCAAATATATTCGTTTATTTAACAATCCGTTTCTGCTCGGTCATTGTTACGTTTGTTTCTACTTCGTTTTTGGCTCATGGCTCACAGGATTTTCCCATTAATAAAGTAAGTGAATTCCTCCGGCCTCCTTGTGACAGCACTATACAAAGTTCAAGTTTCAATGTATGTCAATTGTTTCTGCTAGTTGCTGTGAAAATAATGTCACGATCCATGTGTAGGCGGTGAAATCTAGTACTACGTAGATGTGAAATAAACTAGCAGTGAAATTCAAGCTCGGCTGTTCTGAACATGACTTGAAAGTGCGTTTTCTTTTAATCGTATCTGTATACAGTCCTTAGTGATAACAAAATGTGCGTTAGCGGTGTAGGTTTAATGCTCAGTTATAGCAGATTTGTTAAACTATTGCTGTGAAGTAGTGATATATAAAGAAATACCAATTTAAATAACTACGCCATGGAGCTGCGTTCCTAACTCCTAAACTGCACACATCTGTGAACACGCCCAAATTACACTTCCAATTAACCCCCCCTCTGAGTGGTGAGGACGCTGGAGAACTAGAAGTCTCCCTAGCTTGGTTGAACCTAGATTTACCATTACAAATTAGGATTGTTTAGCAATCAAGTTCAGCATCATATTGAAATTATGTGCTGGGATAAAGCATATTAGGAAAATCTCACCCAGCCAGTTTTTAAAAGGATTTCAATATCACCATGAGAAACAGACCTGGATGCTTGTTCCAGACTCCCACGGCTCTTTGTGTAATGTGGCACTTTCTGTTGTCAATCTTAAATGCACTTACCCTAAGATTCAATGGTTGTTTTGTTAGTTTTTTGGATAAAAGCAACAGGGTGACACAGTGGTTAGCAGGGCTGCCTCTCAGAGCTGGGGTCCAGGGTTCAATTCCTAGGGTTCTGTCTGTGTGGAGTTTGCATGGTCTCCCTGGGTTTGCATGGGTTTCCTCCCACAGTCCACTCCCACTGGTAGGTTAACTGTCTCCTGGAAAAATTGGTCTTGGAGTGAGTGCGTGTGTGTGTTTGTCCTGTGATGGACTGGCATCCTGTCCAGGGTGTACCCTGCCTTGCGCCCACTGCTTGCTGGGATAGACTCTGGTTCTCTTGAAAACCCTGTTCTGGCTAAATCAGTTAGGAAATGGGTTGATAAAAGCAACCCATTGTACGTTCTCATTCAATCCATTTATTAAAAACAAAGGCTTTCATTTAGATGTTGTGTGGTTTGTCTGTGGCATGCAGGCTGGTCACCAAGGTGGGTGTGGCCGGCGGGGCAGTGTACGTGGCCTATGACCAGAGGTTGCTGGGGGACAGTGTCCAGGGCTCAGAGGTGCTGACCAAGGCCAAAGCTGCAATCCCCCCTGCTGTGGACGAGTGGATGAAGTACTTCGGATGGGAGGTGAGGGCAAGATCTTGTGTTTGTGCCGACGTACTGGGTGCTGGTGAAGCAGCCAAGCACTGGTGCGGTTTTACTGTGCCAGTGTTGTGCAGTGCTGTATTTTGGCTTTCATGATTTCTTTTAGAGAGATAAGTCCCATCTCCGAACCCTCAGGTGTAGGGCACAGCCCTTGTGTTTCGAAAAACATCTTTCATTCCTACGTAATCAACATAATTATCTGGATAGGAAGTATAATTACTCCGGTTTTGAAGGCCCACTTTTTGGTGGAAAAGTCCCACATCCAGCACAAGAGATCAACTCGGGGACTGTATTAAACATTACCAGAGGTGCAGGAAGTAAACTTCCACCGAAAACCCTGGGATCACAAGACACAGAATCAAGAACTGACTAAATAAGGTTTGTGATTCGGAGACAAGGTCCTTTCTAAAGGCTGTAACTAGCTTTACTGGTGTTGGTGCACAGAGGCTGTTGGCGATGCAATGTTTAACCATCATGTTCTCCTCTTCCCTTATTACTGCAGCTTCCTTCTCCTCCCAAAATAGAGTTTTCCGCTTTGGAAACGTGGAATACCGGTAAGAGCTTACGTAGTGCAGGAATGCTACAGCAAACAAACTCTCAGTTTTTCTAGTTTTGTGTGTACTAGCAGGTTCATCCTTGATCTGGAAAGGGGAGCTGCAGTCCCAGTTTCCCAGACCAGTTATTGAATCTCGGTAACAAAATAAATTCAGTGACAGTATAGCAAAACAAAAATGTACAAATTTTGAATTGGGCACAAAAAGTGTGAACTTTGTGAAAGTGCTATGAGTAGCCATACTGTTGCAAACCCCAGGTCTCGGCACGGGCGAGAGCGAGAGTTCACGAGAATTCTGACACGGGGAGGCCCTTCCTGCTCACTAGTCCCTGTAATGACTGATGTGATTTGTGAGCGAATAACTACAGGTTGTGCAGCAGACATTTCACCCCCAGACATTTTCCCAACATGAGTTAACGAGTAAGTCTCATTTATCGGCAAAATCGTCTCGAAGTTGAGAGCAATGTCTCCATGGGATTTAAAGAGACGTACTCACAAGCCTGCTGGTTTACAACGCAAGGGAGCTGCAACACGGCGCCCTGCCTCGTTCTGGATCGCAGAACATGGCGCTGCGCCTACCTGGAGCTTTCGGGGAATTTTGTGAAGCGAATTGGAGGTTTTACAAGTTACAGTGTCCATCTGACTTTCATTGCGGTTTGAAATGCACCCATCAATGCCGATTCTTTCTAAAACAGAAATAGAAAAATGGTGCTGCCGTTCCCCTTTGAGTGGCTGAATGCTGTCAAACAGGCTGCAGATGGGAAGGGCTCACTGGCGTTCTGACTGACGGACAATCCCATGCCCAGCTCCGGCTATGCCGAGTGACCACGTCTCCCCGTTTTCTTCCAGGCGTTCAGAAGCTGACGCAGACCCTCTCCGTCGCCCCCACGCGAGCGTGCGAGTACACCAGCCAAGGCTGGCAGTACATGAAGGGCCTGGCCAAGTGAGGAGGGGTGCCCTGGGCATGCCCGCCAGCTCCTGCCCACCCCCCCTCCCACGCCAACCCAGACACCTCCACTCCTGCATCGAGCAACACCTCCAGCCTCGTCCACAGGCCCCTCAGTCCTGAGGGCTTCGTTACTCTGAACCCACGTAACAATTGTGATCTGCATATCTTGAGGATCAGAGCTCGAATAAGTTCTTTTTTTTGTGCTCTGGCTCTCAGAAACCCTAAAAACAACCAACCTTCAGATCTGCACACGTTGACACTGAACAGCAGAAGGTTTTTTCCCCTGTCTGACCATAATTTAACCTGTCGTTTATTTAGCCTTTGGCAGAAGACGAGCCTCTGTTATTTATAAAAATAAACCTGGGAAGTCGTCTGGAAATCGTATACAGCAGGCACATTCATATTACCCTGATCTGCAACATCACTTATGTAATATAATTGAGTTCAACAGGGGTTGCAGTTCCTAGAGCCACCTCTAGGAGGTGTCCTTTCCCCATCGGTAGTGTCAGAGTGAGTGCCTGCAGGAGGAATCAGATCTGTTTTGGCTGAAGCAAAGTCTGAGACGTTATGCTGCACTGGACCCGAGAGTTACATTCTTCACCGCCTTTACTTGTATGTTACCATGTTTTATACCGAACTGAAGTCTGTAATAATCTGTAAATAATGATAATGTACCACCTTCAGAGTTACAAAGGACAAAAATAAAAGCCCTTCAGTATCTTTTACAAGGCAAAAGGGTTTCTTGCAGTGTTCCCTGTGCAAGCCTGTTTCTGTCTTTTTAGCATGTTGAAATGGTTGAGGTTTATAGTTTGTTTAAAGAATTATAGTACATTTTATAAATACATATATACTGTATATATAATACTCTAATGATGAAGTAGAAGCTTTTTTCCCTCAAAACATCTAGGGATGCAGAAATGAAGAAGCTACAGTGTCAGGTTACTAAGCAGTGGAGCATGTAGCTGTAAAAGAATAGTTACTAGACAAGATAAATAGCCAGTAAGGAAATTATCATCCTTGTTAACTGTAGCACTATCAAATGATAGAAATCTGCACACGCAACAGCAACATTGTAGCTAAATCATACTGTTACAGAATGCAGCCTCACAGTGTTGGGTCAAGCTGAGCCTCTACACCAGAGACCACACCACCAAATAGTTTCATCTGCCAGACGGAATGAAAAAAGTCAAACAAAAGCTGACAAGTGCAAAAAATATCTCTTTATTATTAACGACCGCATAGTTACACAGAAACTGAATGGCGAATGCTACAACAGTTCAGACTACTCAAAAGCTTTGGTAAAGCAGTGAAACAGAGGGTATCTCATGGTAAAAACCTCAATATTGAGAATTCCTGCAAGCATGTAGACGACACCGCAGATCAAGACACACATCACAGAGAAACTGGCAAACACGTCTGATAGACCAGAATGCACAATGTGAGCGTGATTTTGCACAGCCAAACCTCAGCGTTCAGGGCAAAACATTCTCATCCAGATGAACCAGTCTTCTCGAAACTCTTACAGTACAAATGCTACACTTTCAAAAACAAAGATCCAAACTGTGCCATACACGATGCAGTGCTGCATTTCAGAAACATAGTCTAAATTAATGTTCAATAGCATGTGCATTTTAACATTAACGTCCTGTTATTAGGCCCCGTCCCCCACACAGAGCTCGGGTAAAAGGACTAGGCAACTCCAATCGCCACTTGAATATTGGTCATTGAGTTTGCCAATAGTTGCTAATTCCTGATACTGCTGGAAGCCTTACAATGCCGGGGTAATGAAAGAGCGCTGTGTCACAACTTCAGAGAATGTAAAGGATTTAAACGGGTCCTCTTTCCACACAGTAGCACCAAGGTTTAGCGATTTGACTTCCTGTGTTAATAGATGTAGCCAGAGAGTTGGAAGTAATCTGTAGTCCTAGGCGCTGTCCACAACACCTCCTGCACAGGTGGCTCAGTGTGATCAGAAAGCTAAGGTGTGTGACTCATATGCTTTACACAGACATGCTTTACAGAAGGTGCTTCAATAGGGGCTTAGTGTTAAAGCTGGTAAAACAGATTAAAAATGCCTTTTATTTTTATTTGGAGGTATGCATTCGGGGAAATAGTAGTATTACAAGGAATAAAGCTACTACCCTCAGGCCTCTGATTTCTAAGCGCCGATCTACTCCAAGCAGGTAAAAAAAGGACAGCTCGAGAGTTCAGAGGCTGGGGAGCCATGTAGGAATGAAAACAGGTCTGTTCCACACAAGCGTTCTATGTAACACAGCACAGTCTTTCATTTATTGATAATCAACTGTTCAAAATTATAATACTTGCAAGCAATGACATAGAGTTCTATACACAAATGCACATAAGCCTTTTGGCAAAGTAACTACAATGCAAAAAAATAGAAATCAGTTTTTCTTTAAAAGAAATTGCATTTTTTTTAAAGTGGAACGATGCTTCTGCTCTGCTTTGTGCTTCATTAAGCACTGTTTTGTCTATACATATACTTCTGACTGAGCAGTATTCTTTATACTGTTTTGTCATAAAAGTGTTCATACTGGTAATCATACCACTTGTAGGGTCACGCAAACGCAGAATTTCAAAAACAAAAGAGAAGGTCAGTCTACAATGTATGCAAGTGATAATTCTTACATTTGAAGATAGTATCAGACCCATCCGAAAATAAAAGTCACATTTATATACAGTCAAGAGAGAAGTTCAACCAGTGGAAACAGTAAAATTCACTAGTCATAGGATTGTAGAAAGTATACTTTTAAATTTGGCGATAAGTAAACACATAAACATTACAGCTTCATCATGAAGGCTCTCTCCCATTTTTAAGCCAACGGCTAATGCAAGATCAGTACACCTACCACAGAGCTTTAATACCTGATCTGAAGTGCATCTTTCAGGTCCCTAAGGGATGGATCCTGTGGATGCTTACATACTGTATCATTGCCAGCAATGAACTAACATTTTCTACAACTTCCAGGTCATTCCCATCATCATACTGTGCAAGCGAAATGCCAGAAGTCTTTCTCTGTCACTTGTATTTTCAAAAACGACGCCCAGCCTAGTTACCTCCAGTCTGCATTTCCAGGTCCAGGTCACAATGCATTTCTGAAGTTCCTTGCAAGCGCTAAAACAATCAATGTCCTGTCCGTGGTTCTTAAAAAAAAAAGTCATGCTTTAACAACAGTGTCAAATCTAGAGACATCTCTGCAAGCTCAGAGACGCTCAGGGGACGCCAGTGTTCTTCGGATGAGATGTGCACTTTTTAATGGCAAAAGGTCACTTTTAAAAGGGCAGGAGCCCAGTTAAAAAACACACAATACAGTCCCGTCAAAACTCAAAGTGTGGTTTTGGCCCTGTGATTCGAACAATGGCTGTGTCACAGGCAGTGCGTCACCCCATGTCTGTGCTTATTTAAAATTTCGTGTTCTCGATTATGAATTTTTAATTCTATCCAATGTGCAGCCGTATGACCACTCAGGAAGGAGGAAGTGCAGAAAGCTCAAGGGGTAGCTGTGACAACCCCAACCCATTGAGCTGTTCTTCTACAAGCTCTACAACTAACTTACAGGCGTTTCAGCACCAAAGTGACATCACTGCAACCTGTGGGTTACTGGGAACCTGATTAATCAATTAATCCTGCGCCTACTGGTGCTGAGCCAACTGTGCATCAACGTTCACAGTCGGCTATTGACTTGACCAGACATGGCGAGTTCAAGGTTGGCAGTCCTGCCTCGCAGCGCTGAGGCCCTGGGTGCAATTCCAGACCTGGGGCACTATCTGTGTGGAGTCTGCATGTTCTCCTCCGGGGGCTCCAGTTTTTTCCCCATAGTCTAAAGACACGCAGGCAGGTTAACTGTCTCCTGGTAAAATGGTGTGTTTGTGTCTGTTCTGAAATGGGAAGGTGTCCTGTCCAGGGTGCACCCTGCCTTGTGCTCACTGCTCGCCAAGATTAACTCTGGTTCCCCCAGGCCCTTGAACTGGATAGATGGATGGATGGATGGATGGATGGATGGATGTTTATGTTGCCAACTTTAAACCAACACGAATCATATACATCAAAACAAAACGGATCACGTTTTAATCAGCTATTTCTCAAAAAATTAACTTCAGTTCTGGTATCACTAGTAGACAATCGTTACATGACATACTGCACGGGAACTGTCCTTCAAGAATTCAGTCTTCTCATGTCTGCGAATAATATCAAGCCCTGGTATTTAAATTACAGCTTGCCTTGTTCATTTTAACATGATCTTTTAGCAGCACAGCACTTTGTAGACAGTATTGGCGGTGAACGTTATATGGTACAGGACAGTACTTCACCTCATCGACAAACAACAGAACCACTGTGATGACGTTGCATGAACAGGCCAATAGGAGCAGCGTGACGCTGGACAGGATGCATTGTGGGATGTATCCACGTGCCTCTAGCTGCGCGCTCGAGAGCCACATCCCGAAAAGAGGAAAAGCCTTGGAAAAGAAAAATCCAAGTACCAAAGGTTTGATAGCAATAAAGCAAAAAAAAAAATCATCAACATTTACAAGACAAGGAATGGGTGTACGTGAAAAAAAAAATTAACAGTAATACTTTTACATAGGTTTTATTTTCAAAACATATCTGGTAAACCTTTACCATCTCTGAAATTTCAGCATTGCCACAAAATATAAACAATTTCACGATGGGCCAGCTGTTCCCAATAACTTACTTTTGTAAAATAAATTAAAATTATCATACAAATTACTGTCCCACGCTCACCACAGATCCCAAGAATGGATGACAATTTCATTGGCAATTGTACCAACGCTATTCTGCATTCTGCACATTAAGTTTTGGATTATTTGCATCTCATGTGGTGTCTTGTGTCGGCCTTATTTTTGCCTCCATCCTTTTTTATGGGTCAGTCTAATTCTCTCCAAGCTTTTAACTTAGCAGCAAGGTGCTTTAACCAAACCAACACCACCTGTGCCGCCTGAAGTAAAAACCGTCTCCTCTGCAGTGTCTGGTGTAGAATCATCTTTCCTGCGGACTCCCAAACCGCACAGATGATCTTACACAAGAGTCACTTTCAAAGCGGTACAGGTTTTTGTCTCTGAACACACCTACCACGATCATTTCTACTGTTCGTTTGTTTTTTTCAGAAACATTCTGGGTGCGAAATAGCCCAAGTCTTTTCGCAGTGGTCCAATGTGCTCAAGTTGAAAAGCGAGCGCCGGACGAAATCTCTTTCGCCGTTTTGCGAAGGGCAGCTTTGTGTTTTCTGGACAGGCTACTGCCAGCACCCTGCGGGGAAAATATGACTTTGCATGTGCTCTGTAAAAAAAGGCCTCAAGCCCATTCCAATCAAGCCAGCCTACAACGCTAATATCATACATTCCTCCTTCAATACATGAACGGAGTCCAGCCTGCTGGACAGTCAGAAGCTAAATTACTAAGCAATTTAGCTGCATGTTTCCTAGGACAAATGAAGTGTTCGTGTTGGCAACACATTGTTGCTTATACAACATCAAAGCAAACGGTAAGACGCTGCTCTTTTGAAATTTGCCATGAAAACGTCACAGCTCCTATCACCTTTATTACTCAAATCCCTGTTCAGATTCTAGATAACCCAATGCTTGTGAGCAATATAACTGCTTTATTTCATTAAGCGACAACAACAAACAAAGCTTAAAAAAAAAAAGCCACCCCACCCGGGCTTAGCCTCAGTTTTCTAAAAATCTTGTCAGAGCGTGTGTGAGCCTTACTAAAATATTTGCCGATTTCCAAAGCTAGAATTGTATACAACTTTTTAACGCTAAAATCTCAATCTGTTCAAAATATATACACTGCTGATCCTTTCCCTCCTCTAATAACCATGACGCTTCACCCCCCCAGTATTGTATAAATTAGAGAAACTCCACTGTTAGGAGACTCTCAGAGTGATCTATTGCAACCCTCGTTTTTTCTATTGAAGAATTTCCAGGGAACACAGTAGTCATTGCATTGTCAGCATAAGGCGACCCGAAATTTCGATCACTGTCTAGTCAAATTCAGTGGGTTCCAGTGGAACGTTGGCGAATGAGCTCATCGATTTAAAAGTAGTTCTTTTTTACCCATTCGGAGGAGATATACGATGGGAGAGGTTAACAGGCTCATGTCTGAGCTCTCTTCACAAAAGATACTGAGAGTGGTGCTAATATCTGGGTTTAAAAAGCTGCAATATCGCCACTGCTTGCCTTCCTAGGGTGCCTCAGAGCTGGAGTGAAGCAGAAGCTGGAAACAGTTGGTAGAAGTTTCTAACAAGAGCAGACTGGTGCTTGTGACAGCAGTTCCATTCAGAACTCTAAGCCCCATGTTCAGCTGCTTTTTACTGCCTTGCACTCAAAGCTTTGGACTTCTTTCTGCTACAGCAAGCCCTGTGCTCAGGTAGGAGACGCAGAAGAGGCAGGGCGCTTGGCCACTGTGAAATTATTCGTTCACTTTTCTGAACTCCACGTTAACAGACCTCCCCGACTACATGCCTGAGCCTCCCTTAAGTATTCCAGTAACAAGCTTGTGGAGTTCAACGCTGTCCACACAGTGGGGGCTGCCCTGCACGGTCCCTGCCCCTCTCTCTGCTCCTGGGCTGCTCTTCGTTGTAAAACTTCTACCCCCTGGCCGGGCCCAGCCGCTGCGCGACAGCGGGCCCTAGTGGCGACCTCCGGCATGACAGGCCGAGACAAGGTGGCGTGCGTTGCCGAGGGAGACCACGGGCCCCCTCCCTCTCCAGCGCGGTACCTGCCCTCGGCACAGTTTTGCACTTCACTCACCAGCCCCTTCAGCCACCACCTCCACCCACCGACCCCGCCCCGGGTGGAGAAGGTAGCCGTGGCAACAATGGCGGAAACGCAGCTGGGGAGGGGGGGTAGGGAGGGGGTGGGGATGGGGGGTTTGGGGATACTGTCTCTTTAAGAGGTCTTGACCAGATCGTAGACGTGAATGTGGAAGTCGTCGTCGTACTTGATGTAGTAGACGGAGGGCTTGGCGGGCACCTGGTAGATGACCAGGCCAGTTCTCTTCACCCCTTTGTCGGTGACGTACTCCACCTGCTTGCCCACGAGGCTCTCCGTCTCTTCCCCCGGCTTCCTGTCGGCCGGCAGCAGGTGCCTGTTTTCTGAGACACGAGAAGGATGTCTCTTTGCCTTACAAAACTGCCCCCCACCCTTCCCAAAGCAATAACACTGAAACCGGGCATTTTTTCAATCAGCTGCTGCACACATTTCACAAGCTCCATCTTCACCTGATGCTGTGTGACCTACAATATTTCCAAATTAATCACACCATACACAGCGGGACTCTCAAGGGCATGTATATCAGCACACAGGGCCCTTGACCTTTTCACCTCCAGGCCGAAGCCTTTTTCTTGCAGGCAGATGCTTTTGGGAACATCGGTAAATCAGCAGGTGTGGTTTTGGCCAGGAAGAGCAGAACTACAGAAGAGAGACCGTGCTTACAATCTCTCTCCAGATCTGCAGAGAGCCCCATCTGTTACTTTCACATCCACACGTCACAGTTCAGCTTGCTACGTGTTCTTCAGAAGATTAAGCCCCTCACCTTATGAATTAGGACTTCTGTGTGGATATCTGATGACGCGGTGATAACGTATCCAATCAGATTTGTTAAAAGGCCTGCAGGTGAAGTGCTGAGCCGGGACTGGAACGTGTTCGACACCCTGGCTCATGCAATAAGAAGGCCGGCTTACCTGCTTCGGGGAGGATGCGCAGGTCTCCTTCCTCGTAGTCGTCCCACAGCTGGTACATGTACAGAACGGGATCCTTCTCGTAGGTGATGTAGTACCAGTTGGTCATAATGGGCGCTCTGGACAGCACCATCCCACGCCACTCATTCTTCTCCCCATCCTCCTTCTCGAACAGGTGCTCCACGGCCTTGCCGACCAGCTCCTCTGCGTCATGGGGCACCTTGATCTTGTTGTTCACTAGAGGGAACACAGGGCAGGTCAGAGGAGCTACCCCGCCTGGTTGCAGAGCTCTGACCCCATAGGTTTCGAAATCAGAGCAGGACTTCCCACCCCACACCCTGCTCACTGGCTGCCTCCTGTTAAAATGCAATAGGACAACCGTCCGGCACGGGACCTGGTTAGAAAGAACAACTGGACTGCAGTTTGACCAGCGAATCAAATTATTAAAGTCAAGTGAGCACAGCTCTTTTCCAGAGCTAGACACATATTTTAAAAGCAACAGGTAAAGGTTTAGTCCACGCTGAAAGGAAGATCAGACAGACACAACGTTTCGACTGTGGAGCCTTCTTCAGGTGTCGATAAACCTTGACCTGTTCCTTTGCAGCCTACGCATGCTGACGCAGCTCCCTACTGCAACTTCTTTTGCGCATTTGTAAAGCCTGGGCAACTGGTCTTGAGCAAAACCAATTTAAACCTGAACAGAAAACAAATTTTATAAAGATGTGTCTGAACCTGAGTTCTCTACATGTAGCAGCTGTGGCACTTATCAGGGTTGGGTTTAATACAGGGGTGAAGCTGCCCTCACCCCACTAATCCAAACTCTCCATCACCTGGACCAGCTTCTGTTGGCCAGGTAAGGAGCTCAGTGCCTGCACCACACCACGTCAGGCACACTGTAAGAAGACCACGCCTTGACATTACTGAATTTTTAACAGGGAGAAAATGGAATCTAAACTGTCTGTCACCGACTAATTCACCACAGCTCAAGATTTAATAGAGAGGCTCTGTGGTGTCCGCTGCATAACCTCAGTATTGCAGTTTACGTGAAACACAGGTTTCCAGCTGAACTGGCGCAGGGTATTTCCCCCACCCTCTTCACCAGTGCAAGATGCTCGTCTCTGTCTGACACCCCACCCACTCCCACATCTCCGCCACCAGCAGCTGTTGACACCCCAGGACAAAGATCACTGTGCAATCTCGCACCATTCACAAAGTATGCAACTGATCCCCCATGCACCATCTTCACTAACGTCACAAAATCAGAAAAAAAAAATTATATGACAAATGTGCTCACAGAAGGGAGACTTTCCTATCCCGTTTGCCACACCCCCAGAGACATAATCCACAGATATATGGGAAGAGTATGAGATACAGGGCCCCTCCACATTATACATACACACTACCACAGATAGCGGAGGGGTCAAATACCCTCACAGTACAGGGTAAATATCAGATCAATATGATCCATCTGCACCAGGCCTGCATGAAACTTGATGCCAAACCAGGAACAGATGTGTTCGTTTGTGTCTGGTCTGCCTTACCTCTGCCCCATGGATGCCCAATATATCTGTGCCCTGGAAACCTCCAGGCGGCTCTGGGCTTTCAGCAATTACAGAGAGAGATGCACAGCTGTTCCAGTCAGAGCCACCTCTCCTGGGAGGTGAGGGCAAGCATGAAGCATGTCAAACAGCTGGGCATGTTGGAGGCGAATGTCTGCGTCTCACATTCTGAACTCCACCTTTTTACACTTGAATCCTGGTAGAAACCTGACTTTCTTCCGAACGAGTGGGAACTGCGAGGGAGCGCATTTAAGGAAGAAAAAAAAACAAGAACGGGAGGCGCTTCTTTACACAAAGGGCTGCGGGAGCCTGGAACAAGCTTCCCTGTTTCAACAGCCAGGCTGTTGTTGAAACCAAACTGGAACAAGCTGGCCCCACCCAGCCATTCCCTCCCGAGCAGGTTCAGGAGCTCTCTGAGCCAAATCTTTAAAAAAAACAACAACTGACAGACAGGGCAGGTATACAATATAAAAATAACTCCCACTTGCAAAGCTGGCAGACCCCAGTGATGGCTGCTCTCAGCTCTGACACTCACCCACTTTCTCGGTGAGGACCTGCAGGCCCGAGACCCTGTCGTCCTTGAAGAGCTCGATGCCGTAGACGCAGTCGAACCCGTCGTACTTGACCATGAAGAGCGAGGGGTTCACGCTCAGCCTGTCCAGCACTGTCCCCTTCCACTTGGTCAGCGCCCCCTTCTCCCGCCAGTTGTGCTGAATCCGCACTCCCAGGATGCTGCCGGGGTCAGGGGTCAAGGTGTCGCTCAGCTCCCCGCTGCTGCGTTTCCTGGGGCGGGACATCACAACCCGGGTTCAAATCCTCCCCCCCCCCGTGGTTTACGAGGACGCGGAGCCCACTTTGCCCGTTTTCAAACAACCCAACTAGAAGACCAGGAGGATCTCATCTCATTCAAAGCTCCTTTTCCACACCACAGCTAGGCAGGCCGTTCCAGACACCCGCCACCCTTTGTGTAAAAGAGCTTTTCCTCAATCTCTCCTCCTAAGCATGGAGCCTTGTAATCTTGGCTTCTGCGAGCTGCAGGCCATAGTGGAAAGGGCACTGAGGAAGCTGGACAGGAAATACATAGTTCGTGTGCACAATTTCTGGAGCTCTGCAGAGTTTAACTCCACACAAAGAAATAAAAATCAGAGTCGACAATAATGGAATATCCAGCTTCTAGTTTTGGCTTGCAAACAAAAGGCAAAAGGTGGAAAGATTAAATGTAACTCAGTACAATGGCAGCCTTATGTCCAGCTATGTGACTTCATACTGGATACTGATACATAAGACCAGAATGCACTAGAGACAGGAGCCACATCTAATCAAAAAGAAAACTAGAAAGCAAACCACAAAACGTCTCTGCCTTACCTGCCCTTTTTCTTGGACATGTTCCCATAAATTCAGGCACCGGCTGCGAAGAGAAAGAAGGAGAGAGGAGATGGCGTCAGGGTCCGAGACAGCTGCTTTCACAAGGCGAGCACAGCCCTGAAGCCTCACCAACACCGAGAAGGCCTTAGCAATTAAACCACGCCCATCTCCTGTCCTAAAAAGGGCTGTTGTTTTGTTGGGTTTTTTTTTTTGCAACGCTGACCAAAAAAAAGAAAGAAAGAGGGGAGCGATTTCGAGGCAACACACGTCGGCTGTCAAGCCTCCCCCCCGAACGTCAGGTTCCTCCGGCCGACAAGCTGACGTGCCTGTCCCAACCACAAACCTTGCAGGAACTGTCGCTGCTAAAAACGGCCGAGCCCACACTGCCCCGTTGCCTGCTATTTTCAGTGCCTTCGACACAAACCGACGTACAGGTGCCGGACTCCGGGTTTCCTGTGGAAACTTGAGCAGAAACGTCCCGGCTGGCTGAACGGTGTCCTGGCCCCAGCTGTGCGACCGAGAGGTTGCAAGACCTGAAACCCCACCGACCTCGCTGCGCACACGGAGTTTCGTTTCTGTGCACCGAGTTTCACAATCGTGACGAAGGCAGGAGGCTGACGAACAACAGCGAAAGTCGGCGATGCTAAGCGTTGATGGCACACTTCTGTACGCAGGTACTGCCACCGTTGGGCACAACAGGACAGCGATACACTAGGACCTCCTTAATGCTGCCAGTTCTTCTGTTATTTTGGTGAGGCTGTGAAAACTATGGTAATCATTCTCTTCAGTTCTGGATTAAGATGCACTCCTACACGAAGCACCGAGACCTCTGTAGCTCTCAAGACCCTCTCCTTGGTGTCTCTCGCCTGACGTATTTAGGTTTTACCTGTATCGAAGACCGATAGACCGACGCAAACATCCTTCCGAGCATTTACAGCTTTTTATCCCCCAGAACATCCAAAACACATCGCTAGTCGTTTACAACAAAACAAAAACGGGACATTTAAAATTCTATCCGCAGACATTCCCTTGTAGTCGACGGAGAACAAGTTGCGCACATTTCCTTACCAGCCAGTGGGGAACGAGGAGACGGTGG